AAATTAACAATGATTTCTTTTAGGAAATTATGGACTGGTTTGAAAGAAATCAAATATTTATGGTCTTTGGTTTTGAGATTTTCTTAGATTTGATATTCTTTGTTAAAAACTAAATATGAAATTTTTATTAGTATGATGTTTTCATATATATTTAGAACCAATGGAAAAGGTAATTTTTTGTTAGGTATCGGGCCCCTAGGCATCATACGTGGGGCACCCATGCGGTCAGGATAAAGAAATTTTAAAGGTTCAATGCAATTAATCTTATATCATTGATAGGAAAGATTGATTGTATGACTCTAAAATGTGTTTGTTATTTCTCATTGTTTGCTTTTAGAATTAAGTATGGTGGATTCATTAGCCATAAAGATGTTCAAATCCTATAAAGTTGATTTAATTCCAAACGATTGATCAAATTTATATTTATTGTTCATGCAAATAATGATCGGCTCATAGGAAGGTTATTATTTGGCCGAGCAATAAATGTAGTGTGGTCATGTGTGTATCTATTGTTTATGCAAATAATAGTTGACCCAAAAGAATGGTATTATTTGGCCAAACAATGGATGCACTTGTGGTAATAACTGTATGACAATCATAAAGAAATTTCTATGTGAATAATAGTTGGTCTAAATGAAGGCTATGGTTTGACAGGATTGATTGTCAATGCTTGATACTACACTAAGAGTATCACTTGGAAGTTGATATTTCTTGTTCAAAGACTAGATTTCAAAGTTGTGCTAGGTATCTCATTGATGAACCCATTTTTCTTCGGATTTTTGGTCAATGTCATGTATGTATATTGCATTGTTTGATTATACACATGATATGACATTAATGTTGAGCATGTTTTTCTCGAATTAACAACAATTTGTTGGAATTTTTTAGTAATTTATTTATATTTAAGAATTATTATTGTCAGCAATTAAAACTTTATATAAATACATAATTTTCTACCAGGATTGACAGTCAATCTATTATGATAAAGTTTGGGTAATTTTATTATAATCTCATTTATAAAATTGAAAGCAATAAAATTATGGAACTCAGGTATTTAATTAAATAAAATAAATCTTTGATTTATGTTTGTTTTATTTAATTATTATTGCTTTTAATTGTCTTGTATTTTATAATAAATTATTTGAAACAATATTGTTGCCAAAGTAACCTTTATTGTGGATAATAATTTATTATAAGATATACAGATAAGTATATTTATTATTTATACGAATAATCATCAGCCTAAAAGAAGGTTATTATTTGGCGAAATAATTTATATATATATATATGTGTGTGGTAATAAATATGTGACGATTATAAAGATTTTCCATGTGAGCTATAGTCGGCTCAAAGGAAGGCTATAACTTGACAAGATTTATTGTTAATATTTGATTGCTACCACTTACAAATTGATACTTTTGGTCCAAAGATTAAATGGCAATGTTGTGCTAAGTATCTTGTAAATGGGCCCACTTTGCTTTGGATTGTTTGTTAATGTCATGTATGTGCATTTAATTTTAATTGCGCATTTGGTAAAAGATGGATGTTAAGTAGGTTATGCGTTATTTAAAGAGGATGAAGGATTACATGCTCACCTATCGAAGGTCAGACAAACTAGAGATCATTGGGTATACTAATTTTGATTTCGCTAGATGCCAAGATAGTAGGCAATCCACCTCAAGCTATGTTTACATGTTGGCAAAAGGAGTAATTTCTTATAGGAGTGCCAAATAGACACTCGTAGCTTCATATACCATGGCAGTAGAATTCATAGCTTGTTTTGAGGCATCCGGTTATAGGATATGGATACGAAATATTGTCACAGGGCTGCGTATGGTTAATGGTATTGAAAGACCATTAAAGTTACATTGTGATAATAAATCAGCAGTATTATATTCCAACAACAACAAAAGCTCCTCAAAATCAAAGCACACTTATATTTTGTTTCTGGTTGTTAAGTAAAGAATTCAAAGTGGTTAGATTTTTATAGAACACATTGGGATGATCTCCATGCTTGCAGATCTGCTGACAAAGGGCTTGGTGCCCAAGGTTTTTCTTGAGCATACTGCTCATATAAGTATTATTTTATTTGAGGACATTATGGTTTAGTGGGAGCTCATTTGGGTGTTCTATGTGTTAAAATATTTATTTGTTTGATTTCTGCAGAATAAAGGATATGTTTATTCCCTCTAAATCTATTTTGTTTTCTATTTGCGACTTTTCATTTAGTATAGGAAACTATGAATTGATCTCATAAGGATTAGAGTAGGATCAGTTGAAAATAAGCATGATACAGATCACATTGCATGTAATTCCAATGCCACTCATCCGTACTTGATCTATGTCATTAACTATATTGGGATGATGACCATGGAAGGTTTAGTTAAGTATTGAAAATGACAAAAGTCGTCATGATCTCATATTGATATAGAAGATGGACCAAATTGTACCTAAAGTGAAATCTAAAGATACACGTTAAAGAACATATGATATAATTGTTTCAGGTTCATATGCAGCTCAAGTGGGAGATTGTTAAAAAATTTTATTTTATACATTATTGTGTACTACATATATAATTATCAATTATATCATGTTATTAATTATTGGGTAAATTAAGTGATCTGTTTAGGAACCCAATTAGATTTCAAAATGAGTATGGCTTAAATGAGTGGATACCCACACTGGCCAAACATGGTATAATGGGATCCTGATGGGCCCAATCAGTGGCGGAGCCGGGCTCCAATTTGAACCCGGGCCAAAAAAATTATATGAGTATTTATTTTTCTTAATTTTAGTTACTTCATATCATAATATATTTAAATTATATTAAATACAGAGCACCTGAGCAGGAAGCACCAAGAAGAGTTATAATTTTATTAAATATTTTTAATTTTACTAAAAAATATTTTATTTTTTTTATACAAATGAAAATTGAACACATGACCTAATATAACTTACCCAAATCTTTCACCAAAAATATTTTAAGTTTTAATTAGGGCCAAATTATAAATTGTAGCCCGGGCCAAATTATAATTTTAACCCAGGCCAAATTATAATTAATTATATAATTATATATAATAAGTACAATTTGTTAAAATTTAGTCAGAACCGAGGCCACACCCAGCTTATACGTGGCTCCGCCATTGAGCCCAATCATAAGGAATGAGGAAAATTGTTATGGTCCCTAATATATCAAATCAATAAGATGGTTTTATCCTCTCCATCAAGAATGAGCTTCCGCATAAGGATTCAGCACTCTGGTGATTTGAGTGAGGAAGACCACCAATCCCAAAATTCAAAGGTATTAAGAAACTACACTTTAATTCCTTTTTGATTCCTTGATGATCCAATATGATGTATCCTAGGGTTTGCGGAGATGGTTTTCACCATAAAGACTTAGCTTGAGCTCAACCCGACTTTGATACCACTATCAGACGGGTCCAGGAGAAGCCCACCACCAATAGACTAAGCAACTATACCATAAAATCAAATAGATGTGACATCATGTCTCTACCCACAACCACTACTAAAAAAGGCTCTCGGCATGAAACTTCTCCGTAAGAGGGACAACCCTCAGTAAAAGGTAACATCTACTTGCGGCTATTAATCAAAAGCATAACTATTTGTGTTCCCGTATTTGATTATATCAAAATGAAGCTTTAGGTTTTAATGACATCATTACCGTGTGATAACTTACTTTCAAATAAAAAATGACAGTGATACAAATGAGAAGTTTTGGATTTCTTTTTTAATATATAAATACCCAGTCAATTGTTCAGATTTTTTTATTAATTTTATCTTAATTGCTTTGATTTTTAGAAATTTTTCTTGAGATTCCAGCACTTAAGACACACAACGAGGATCAAGTCGACGATGATGATTGTGATGTCAAGTTACACAAGGATAGTTAATAGACATTGTTTTTTTTTTTTTTTTTAATACAGTACTTGTAAGTTGATACAATTATTGGATACATTTTTTATTTTTGTTTCTTAAACACTTTTGATATTAAGACTTCTTCCCAGCTTACATGATTGTTACTATAATGGTTTATATGATTATAATTATTGTAATTTCATACTACCTTACATTAGTTATCTGACTTTGATGCTTTATATTGGGTGATGACTATTAGGTGATTTTTTTAAAAATAAAAACTGAAATATCTTTATTAAATAATTAAAAAAAAAACAAAATTAGGGACGAAATTTGTTCGTTAATAATAAAGTTATACAAGTCATGTTTAAATATATACGTAGGTTTAAAAATTATCTATACACATGTTAATTTATTTGATTCTTCAACTGAAATCATCAATTAAGGGCCCGGATGTGGTTATGTGGTATGGTTCATCTTCTACTTGCTTATTTCTCATTCCCCTAGTTAGTTCCTACAGAACCTCTCTATTTGATATATTAGTTTCAAGCACCATTTGGAACTGAATTTTTTTTCCACCCTATTCCCATTATTTACCTTGCTGTTAGGCTTTTTCAAGCAAAAAAGTTGTGACTTTATTACTTGTCACGTGAGAGAGGGTGTGGGGTGTGTGAGGTCACGCGTAATGGGAGCTCTTGGCCAGCATTGATTCATGCAAATTAACAGTGCCATGAATGAATAATGACTATGTTGTTGTTTTCTTCATGTATAACGGAGGATGTTTTTTTTGTTTGTGTCCGAAATTCAGTGTGTGGGGCTCAAAAGTTTCAACCATATGTGATTATTAGACACACACACCTTAATCACACATATAAACACTGTTAGAGGGAGCTTTATAAACAAGAATTTGGCTTTCAAGTTTCAACCTTACCCGCTCGAGGTGAAGGGTCAATGAAACAAAACAACAAAGCAAGAAAGCTCGTGGGCAAAGAAAAAGCCTTAAAGAAAGCTGATTACATAAAGCAATAACTTTTTTTCCTCTTTTTCTCTCTCTCTTTCTATCTCTTTTCCCTTCTGTTGTTGCCACTATCATTTCTCATTTTCTTTCTACGAGTAAAGCTGAAACCCACTACACTATTACAAAGTCTCCACACCAGTACTATCTGGTTTGTGGGAATTAACTGTGTTTAAGCTTTCTCAACATATATTCCTCAAAGCACACACAAAAAAATTCCACCCATGTTAGACAACAGTGCCTCTTGTGATGCACCACCATCTTCTTCTGATTCCCCCTTTGCATTATCAGAAAATGAAAATGGAGCAGCTAACAAAAGAAAAAGAAGACCAGCAGGCACACCTGGTAAGATAGCTACAGAAAAAATAAAAATAAAAAGTTTCCTTTTTTTCTTCCCTTAAGTTTCAAGCTTTTATTTATAATCTCCTTTGTATATATGCAGATCCAGGTGCTGAGGTTGTGTCTCTCTCACCCAAGACCTTACTGGAATCTGACAGGTATGTGTGTGAGATCTGCAACCAAGGTTTTCAGAGAGACCAGAACCTTCAAATGCATAGGAGAAGGCATAAGGTACCATGGAAATTGCTGAAAAGGGAAACACAAGGGCAGAAGAGGAGGGTGTTTGTTTGCCCAGAGTCAAGCTGTTTGCACCATGATCCATGTCATGCCCTTGGTGACCTTGTTGGAATCAAGAAGCACTTCAGAAGGAAGCATAGCAATCATAAGCAGTGGGTTTGTGACAAGTGCTCAAAAGGGTATGCAGTTCAATCTGATTACAAAGCACACATCAAAACCTGTGGCACCAGAGGCCATTCGTGTGACTGTGGCCGTGTCTTTTCCAGGTTTCTGTTTTCCCTCTTCTACACTTCTCTCTCTCACACACACATACTATGTCCATTCTAAGTTTTCAACTTTCTCTCTCTCTTTCTCGGTTTGTGTGTGTGGCTCATCAGATTCAGCCCCTGCTGAGTTATTGTTTTTATTCTTAACGGGAAACCAAATTTTTATTATTATTTTACTTCTTAAGTTTTATATATATAGATCATTGTTCTTCTGCAGCTTCATTGGAAGTCAAACCCTAAAAAACTAGTTACAAGGATGGTAGAGAGATTTTTATTTTTATTTTTTCGTAGTTCTCAGATACCTTTCATATAAAAGATTTTCCATCTTCTTTGAGGTTATATTAGTATATCAATTCTTTATTTTCGAAATTCTAAAACATAAGTTGACAATTTTCAAATTCATAAGCACATCTTATGAATAGTACATACACACCTGATCCACCTCATTCTAGGTGAGCCAATGGCTGCTTTAATTTTAACGATAGTGTATCAGTATATCTCCGCATTTTTATTGTTAAACTAAACAAGATACCCAATAAACAGATATATAGGATGGAACATTTTCTTTTTCTTTTTCTTTTTCTTGGTTTCACCCCATTTGATCACTCTGTGTCTTATTTTATTCATTAATTATACTTTTCAATTTGAACTTACCCACATAATCCAAAGACCAGATCTTTGATTGATTAATTTTTATATTGCTTTATGTTTGATTTATAAGCACTACATGAAACCAAGTTAATCTTCCCTAGCCACTACTTATTCAGAGACAATAAGATGAAGCCATAACATATATATTTACATATATCATAATCTAATCTAATATATTATCTGTTATAGTAACATAAACTTTTGTCCTATCAGGGTTGAGAGTTTCATAGAACATCAAGATGCCTGCACTGTCCGGCAATACAGGCCAGAGTTACAAGCACTTCAACCTGCTTGCTCTTCTCGAACAGCTTCAAGCACAAGTCCATCTAGTGAGGCAAATTTTAGCATAACCCCATTGCAAGGACTACCACTGCTAAAACCAGTTGATCAGATACACAATAAGCTCAGCACCACGAATAACCAGCATAACTTAGAACTTCAGCTCTTACCTTCTTCAATAAATTCTCAAGAAAAAAGAAACTCAAAGGAAAACTTTGAAACCCACTTGAAACTTTCAATAGGTTCATGTAGTAATGACAAAGCAAGTGAATCAGAGAGACCAGGGTCAGAAACAAATAGGAGCCCACCAGCTGCAGAAATGCATGTGAATGATTCCACATTGGAAGTAGCGAGTTTGAAAGAGTTTGCTGGTGAAGAACTCAAGTTGGCCATGGCAGAAAATGCTTATGCAGAAGAGGCTAGACGAGAAGCTAAACGTCAAATTGAGATAGCTGAACTTGAGTTTGAGAATGCCAAAAGGATAAGGAAACAAGCACAAAGTGAGCTTGGAAAAGCTGAAGCTTTGAGAAAGCAAGCCATTAAGAAGATAAGCTCCACCGTTATGGAAATAACGTGCCAATCTTGCAAGCAACAGTTCCAATCTTCAACTGCTGGGGTTCCATCAGAAGAGACATCCATTGTAATGAGTTATATGTCCTCAGCCACCACAGAAGGGGAAGCAGAATGACATATACAGTAACCAAAATCTGCCTAAGGGAAAGACAATATTGCTGGAAACGTTAACCACAAGAAGTTCTTTTCTGATTCTTTTTCCTTCCTTTTTTTTTTTATTTCTTTTATTTTTTTTTGGCTCTTGACTCTAGCTGAGATTTGTATTATTTAAAGAAAGTTCACATTCTTTATTAATATTGCTGTTGAGATGCAGTGTTTATTAGGAGTTTGATTCTGACAATTGTTGAAGGTTTGATTAAAGGTGAGTTGTAACTTGTTTTGTTCATTTGACATATTCGGTGTTCATCTGTTATATGAAAAATTCAAGATCATGCTAAGTTAGCTTTACCCTTATGCCTAACGTAATTACATCATGGGCAATTTATCCAATTGTTGTTATTGGATGACAGTTAAAGCTTAATAGCGTTTTATGAGTACTTTATATTTTTCTTCTCGAAAAAAAAATTATATACTAATTCAGAATCCTGGTTTGGTACCACTTACTTGTGGCTTAAATAGTAACTAGAAAACAGCATTAGTTTGAGCAGAAATTTATATTCTAATTCCGGATTAGACTAAGAAAAATTTGAGAGAAACTAGTCATAGTGTGAGGTTATCTATAACAACAATCACAATTGTCTTCCGAGGTCGATTATATCTGGAAATATCCGGTTTGGATTATACGGATTATACAATAAGAGGCAATGCATGCATGTGGTGAGGAAAAAAAGGAGAATTGTTTAATATGGATATCAGAAAAAAAAGAGACAATGTTATTAATGTTGCTGGACTAAAGTATGATGTTTGATATGTCAGTATGCTTGTGAATATGGACCCTTCAGGTTATATTAAATGAATGACACATGTGACATTCATCTGGGTGAATGATAGCAATGGTTGGGGACCATTTTCTGTGTATAAGAAACAAAGGGGGCAGTATCTCCCTTTTGAGATCGAATTCAATGTGGGAAAACAGAAAGGAATAGAGGTGAGAGATGGAGGGGTCGTTTTCATTGCATATGTGTTCCTTTTAAATGCACATATATATATATATATATAAACACCATGTTTTTCAGTGCCACAGTTGAAATGGTTGTGCACAGGCACTCGTCCCTCTCAGCATAAACAAACGCAACATAAGGCTCTAAAGACGCACATACTTTTAACAGGGCAGGGGGAGGGGTAGTGTCAGCAGCATAGGGGGGGTACAGTAGCTTTTTCATTATTTTAGGTGCAAAATACCATGGAAGCCATTTCATTGTTTTAAATGGTTATATTTCTATCCTTTCATACGAGAAAAGTTAAATTTCTATACACATATAAAATCGAGGTGTATTTCATCTTTTTTTTTTTTTTTTATTTGTGAATCTCATTTGTAATATTATTTTTGCTACAATGTAGAATAAGAAAATGATTTCTCTTATTTTAAATTAGAAAATGGACGTTTCCCTTTTGGAATTTGGAAAGGAACCTCTATGTTGTCCAAATTTGAAAGAAAACAAAAATATTAGGTCAAGCTTTACTTTGTAGAGTCAATACCCCTTTTTTTTTTTTCAGAGATATTGGCCTTTTTACTTCTTCTTCATCATCATTATTGTTTTTATCACCTTCGTAAGTTTGAAATCATATCTTTTTAACCAGTAGATTTACTTCTTGAATTTTTAGCATATATAAATGATGGATTTGGTGTTTGTGATTTAAATGACATAAATTATGTCATTTTAAGAGAGATAAATACAAAGAATGGAAATAATGGAAGGAAAAGTGAGTGAGTTTTTTTTAATTTAAATTTTAAATAAAAAAAATATTTTTTGTGTCTATCTCTCTTAAAATGACATAATGTTATGTCATTTAAAATGACATAATTTTATATCATTTAAAATGACAAACAGTTTTTTCAATATACACAAGGGTTTAACTTCATTATAATGTATATTTATCTATAAAAATATTATTCTTAAGCTTTCAAAAATAATATAAATATATGTTTGTTTAATAAAAATTTGATTTAGAAAATAAATCAGATTAAAATATAATTTAAATAATTTTTAATTTAAAAAATTTAATTAAATTTTATTTTCTGTTATTTTTAGTTTTTATTTATTATATTATTTGTTGTAATATTTTATAATCAAACTACATCTAGCTAATGTTATATTTAGAACTATTTCGCATTTAGATATTTAATAATAATATGTAAAAAACTATTAACGTGATAATATTAAATAAATAAATCTAAAGTAACCTGTTAGAGTTACAAGATGAAATACAAAGATAAAATTAAAAATAATTATCAGATATCAATGTGAAAATATTTTATTTTTAGCCTTTATATGCATAATGATTATTTTCAATTTTATGCCATACTAGTTTCATGATATCATATCAGAAACACATACGCATACCAATTTAAAAACAATTATACCTATAAATAGTAAGTTATTATTTTTTTGTATAAATTATATTAAAAATAAATATTACATAAATATATCTGAAAAGGAGGAGGGAAAATGAGTGTGGTGGTGTTCGTGATTGTTCTTGACAATTCAAACCAAAGCAAAAGGGAAGGCAGACAGGGAGGGCGCTCCAACGAGGTTACCCTGTTAATCATATCTAATGTTTGGGACCACGTGCACCTCTTTCCCCAATCCCCACCTTTTAACGCACTCCTTTCCCTTTTGGTTCACCGTAGTAGATAATTTTTTTATTAAATTATTTTTTCTGGCATTATTAAATTATAATTTCAAATGTTCATAACTCATTTGACAGGGAATTTAAAATTTTAATTTCGAGATTCGTTCCGAATCGGACTAGTCGCGAAGGAATACCGATTGAAATATTTAAAAAAAAAATGTTCATATCTTACCCAAGGATTTTATTTTTTATTTAAATTTTTAATAATAATGATAATAAAACCTGAATTTATATCTGCATCTAAATTATCCAAGTATTTTACCTAAAGGAAAAATTGGATCGGTGAAAGCGTGTAAAATAAAATTTGTTTGTATGATAACGAATCATCATCATCTAACAATCATAAATGATGAACCTTTGCTAAGCGTAAATGTGCAATAAACCTCCTTGTCATTTGTGAGTTTTTTTTTTTTTTTTTTTGAAGTATCGACCAGCAAGAAATCTCGTTATCCTTTATAAGTTCTTCTCTTGGTAAGTTACTCTCGGCATGTATATATCGACCTTCCAAACCAATGTTATCAGACCCAACCTACTTATTGATGCGGCTGAAGTATTGAGTTATTGAATCACTCGTTCAAGTGAGTCACTAGTTGAACTACATGACCCAAGTTACTACATAAAAACCTATATTTGTGCATAAAAATGCTTAAATACATGTACAAATAATTTTTGTAGGGATAAAAGAAAGTCGTATATGATAACCACATATAATATATTTTAAAAGAAATAAACAAAGAAAAAAGAAAATTCAAGTATCAGGTAACCACATATAATTCCTCTACCAAATATCCGCAACTAACCATGTCTAGTAATTATAAGACATTTACCAACAACTCTTCCTATGAAAATGGATTTGTAAGGAATCAATATGTCACATTCTCTTAATCTACTATTTCTCAAATTGCTTCAGTCTTAGAAGTTGTCACTATAGGAGAGTATATTTCAAGCAAACAAAATTACAAATTTTTTGAAAAGGGTTCCACACTTTTTAAAACAAGACAAGACAACTTTGATTTTTGTTTTTGTTTTTTTAATTTTTTATAAAAATGCATGACTCTCTGGTTTTGATGAAACAACCGGGTCACCGATTTTGATAAAACTCGACTAGTTAGAACCGGTTTTCAGTGGGTCTGATATACGGCTGATCTTATACTTTATTAGAATCAGTTAGATGACCGATTCACCAGGTTTCGAGTCGACCTGGCCGGTTCGAGCCGGGTCTAATAACACTGTTCCAAACTATTCTTGAGAAGTGATGTGAGAGTGTGCAGGCATTAGGATTTCTATCTTTTTCTGATCATGACTTATGAGACTTATGAATAGAATATACAGGGAGGCAAGAAGAAAACTTAGGTCTTCTTAAAGAAAATCTCATTCTTTATTTGGTCATACACGAGCCTTCTTAAGCCTAATAAGGCTATTGCAAGAGCATAATTTCAACAATTTTCCAGTTGCTATTGAGTACATACATGAGCCCAAAGACTGAGATCATGTAACTCACTAGTCTTATTCATAAGCTTGTAGACTAAGATACGTCCGACCACTTTTAGTCTTGAGATCCACCATCTATTATTAATCAAGGCTCTTAATAATCAACAAATGATTATCTAATTTAGTCTTACACTACTAAAATCCCAAAGTTCAACTCCGATTAATAATACCAATAGCATGAATATGCATTACTCCTTTGTAAAGTATTGATAATTTTCTCACTTAATCAAACATTTATTCTCTTGATTGTAATAGTTTTTGAAATGAATCATATGTACTGGTCAGTGTCTTTGATATACAAGTACGGAAACACATCAAGAGAATATTTCATACAAATTTTATTTTATTTATTTTATAAATACCAATAATCAAATAAATCTTATTCCTGAAATGTCGAGTTATTGGTCGTTAGATTGAATCTCACCCGTTGGAAAATTAAAAAATAAAAACTATTCAATTACATATTTATATAAACTTAGGATTAAGAATAATAACATAACTATTGTTAATTGGAGATTTGACATCCTATGACATAAATTCACCTTTATCAAATCTATTCTTCTTCTTTTTATACAATATCAAATCTATTCTTGGTCCTTTTAATATTAATATTAATTAACACCACTATTTTATAATGATTCGAACAAATCATTTCATAAAATATTACAGCCTAAATATAACACCTAACTTAATTAATAGTTATGAACTTATTCTTTAATTGTAAGATCCTATGATTATGTCCTCCATGAATGCATCCAAATGATTATATACTCCTTAATTAATCTAGACCTTTATGTTTGTAACGCTATGCACATGAATAATGAATAATACAACATTTCTAAAAAATTCAAAGAAAGGACAACATTGTTACATTGTCATGCTCTACGAGCATAAATAAAATGATATCTTACATTCGCTTGATACAAGTCTGGGATCCTTATAAGAATTAAAGAAGTAACATACCTCTCGAATGCATGTTCAGAAAAACTCTTTGGTAAAAGGGTCTGCTAAGTCTACCTTTAATACTATCTTAGTTTAAGTGCAAACCACAACTTGAAATCAACTTGAGTCAATATTTCCTTAGAAAGTTGAGTCTGTCTAACCTATGGTTTTAAAACTCCCATTAGAAAAGACTAGCATATAATCTCTCATTCTTCAAATATATTTAAGTATATGCTTAACAACTATTTAGAGTTCTCCAGGAATTGGATTTGTACCGCGCTCTACTCCTACTATGTGACAAATATCTGGCTTGTTACAAAATATAACATACATGAGACTACTTATTGTCAAAACATACTGTATCATACTTATGCATTATTTATGCTAAGGAGTCTTTTGACATTACTTCTTAGAGATATGAATTCTTTTTCTCATGCGTTGTATCTCTTTTTTCTTTTTTATGTTGGCTGATGAGCCTTATAAATAGAATATATAGAGAGGTTAGAGGGAAAAAAAAAAACACCTAGTATTTGTTTGGGTTTTTCTTAAATACTTAAGCCCAACAAAGTTATTGCAAGAACATAAATCTAGTTCTAATTAATCTACCTTTTATTCATTGCCGATATTAATTTGTATGGATTACAGTGTTGCATTAATTAATATACAAACATGAAAGACTTGAGAAAAAGTGATTACGCCAATCCGAGTCATTCGTAAGCTGCAAATATGAATATATTATATATATAGGCATCCCCCTGCGGTAAGATGTCGGAGAAATAGATGTTGTTCTCCGATCCGAGGAATATGTATTTACGTAAGAAGTTAAAACTGGAATCTAGCCATCTGCTAATTTAAATTGGACATTAAAACTCTTTATAATAGTATGGATATAAAAATATACATGAAAAGTATTATAATTAATGACAAGGATTTCCTCACTTGGTCACTATTATGGTTTTATTAAAATTATTAATAAAATATTGCAACCTATGTTCGATTTTGATTAACTTTCGACAAAAAAATCACTTAAAAAGAACCTGTAAAATTTTGATTGTGAATTATTTTGAGTAATAAATAGGGATTAACATTTCTCATATTAATTTTATTTCAGGATTATAATAATCTTTTTTATTATAATTTTTTAATTTTTCAACTTAAAAGACATCGTTTTGGGAGCGAATGTAGATAACTTATCTACATTCACTTTAGAAACATTAAAACCATATATATATATATATATATAATTAATAATTTATCATTTAATATTATTATTATAAATTACTATTATTTTTATGAAATATTACAATATTTTTGTGGGCTTTATCCTGGACCTTGTCTTGAAGTTACGAATGCTTCGGCCCGTTTGACTTGCCTTTTTACTTTTTAAGCGCAGGTGTGTATCCAGTATCCTCCTGAAACATATATGTTCAATTTGTTACTTTCAGATATTATTCTTAATTTTTTTTTGTCATTTTAATAATTACTCTTCGTAATAAATTTATTAAAAAAATATGTTTATTTTTTCAGCTTTTTAAAATTTAACATTCTCCTAATACTGAATAAAGAAAATATTAAATAAAGATTTAGTATATATCTAGAAAAATAGAAAAAGCATATAATACTTTATTTAATAATTAAGAAGATTTCAATATTTTCTTCATTTAATAATTAGGAAAATTTATAGGGAGGATTTAGAATTATTTTTATTTTGTATAAGAGTGGTTGTTCGGTTAAGGTTTTTCCTAAATATTTTTTTAATAACATAATCACTCTTCACATTACATTTTTGTTATGATTTTTATATAAACAACATTAAAAAATAAAGTTAATAGACATCAAACTAGAACACGAAGCCCGACTTAGAACTAAATAATAATCCTCCCAAATTATTTTGACGCATTTTGATGGTAGGTTATATTTCCATGAGAATTATGTATATAACAATCAGAAAACATACAGTTTTTATATTTGACATAAAATATTTAAGAGTATTGTCCCATGCCTCAACATAGACTTACGTGTATTTAAAATTGCTTATCAAGGAGGAACTCGCTGGTAGTAATAATCAAACCTAAGCAAAGTGATTCATTCGATCCTTATCAACTGAACTAACTCCTTGTTTGAGAAAATTAGAGGCTAATCCAGTGCAGTCAAACTCAAGCCATATTTTCTTAAGAATGCCTCAATTTTTCCCTCAAATCTATAGTGTAGCTTTCCATATGCTGGATTCAAAGATTGTTATAAGTTGAATTTCCCTCAGCATGTTGAATTAGTAAGTCATCATTAATTTTCATATCACCTGTGTGATTGGTGAATTGCCTTAATTGATTGGACATATCAGCTTGATTTTGATGAGTCTCTTGGTTCTGATTTCACATGTAGATTACTCCAATTGTTACTATTGGTGAAAGTTACATTGTATTACTGACAATAAAGACTAAATAACACAACAAATGGAGAAACACTAGGCACAATAAACTCAGTAACAAATGCAGAGAAAATCTTACAATCCTCATATTTATCTTCCCTCACTTGTCATAATAATTATGGACAATAATATTGTTCAAGCACTGTTGCTGCTTCCTTCAGTTGATCCAGGCATAAGCTCTCTCAGCATGGCCACTACCTGCAACATGTTTGGCCTTCTGGAAGGCAAGTCATCAACACACTGCAAAGTAATCTCCAAATATCTGACCATCTCTTTCACTTCTTTGGCTTCTGATTCATCATCTGTTCCTTGAGTTGCCAAAAGCAAGTCAGAGTCAATTACTTCCATCTGTTTCCCTTCACGTACCTTCATTTTGGCCCACCCCACCAAGTTAGTGTCACCAAAGTCCTCCTTATCAGTAGGGCGTTTGCCACTAAGAAGTTCCAACATTACAACCCCAAATGAGTAAACATCTCCCTTGGCAGTGCACCTGAAACTTTGGTAGTACTCTGGTGGAACATATCCAGGTGTTCCTGCTAGTGTGCTTACACTAAGATGTGTATCAAGGGCACTTATTAGTCTTGCCATTCCAAAATCTGACACCCTGGACTCCATTTCATGGTCAAGTAGCACATTGCTTGATTTCATGTCTCTATGGATGATGTGTGGGATGCAATTGTGGTGCAGGAAACAAAGTCCTTTGGCAGCACCTCTTGCAATCTTCTTCCTTTCTTGCCATGTTAAAATTCGTCGATCACGTGTCTTTACTCTCCCATGAAGCATCTCTTCTAGGCTTCCATACTCCATGTATTCATAAACAAGTAGCCTCTCTTCTCCTACTTTGCAGTATCCCAATAAAGGGACAAGGTTTCTATGCTTGATCTTCCCTAAGGTTTCCATCTCAGCCATGAATTCTCGATCACCCTGACAACTCAGTCGAATGAGCTTCTTTATTGCAACACTTGACCCGTCCTTGAGTGTGGCCTTGAACACTTCCCCAAAACCACCACACCCTATAAGACTTTCTGCTGAGAAGCCATTGGTTGCTTCAATCAACTGTGAGAATTTGAGCTTCCTAAGCTGCCTCTGAAATGTTGCAACATTAATGCTTAAGGGCTCTTTCTCTTTGTCAATTTTCCATGTTGTAGCAGCATGGGATGCTTGCAAGCTATTAAGCATCTTGACTTCCTCAGCCTCCCTCCTCCTTACGCGCATTGCAATTGCCCACACTATTAAAATACATATAGAAGCAACAGAAATGAGGATTCCCATGACAATGCTGTTTGCCCATGATGCAGTTGCTGATCTATGGCCTCCTTTGCCAACATCATCACTTGGATTTGTTATGGATTGGATGTTGTCATTCTTGCAATCAGGCAATGGAACACCACAAAGACCAGGGTTGTTTGAATACTGTGTAGCTGGGAGTGTACTTAGTTGTCCCCTGGATGGGATTTGCCCAGTTAACTCATTGTTAGACAGATCAATTTGCACTAAGAATGAGAGGTTTGAGAAAGAGTCAGGGATATGACCCTGAAGTCTATTGTGTGATGCATCAAACACACCCAAATTTTTGAGCTTGCCAAGTGATGAAGGGATTTCTCCAGATAGCTGATTGTGAGATAATTCAAGAACCTGTAGAGCCACCATATCTCCAAATTCTTCTGGGATTTTTCCACGAAGCTCATTGTAGGAGAGATCAAGATACTCCAAAGTCTGGTACTTGGTAAACAGGCTGAGGACAGCACCAGAATAGAGTCTTGTGAAATCACAAGTCCTCAATGTTGGAACCTGCAAGAGCCTTTCAGGTCTAATTCCAGAGAATTCTAACAAACCTCCAACTCCTTTACATGAGTTTCCAACATTTCTTACAAACACCAAAGTGTTTCCTGAGAGGATCCCAAACAATGATTTTGCTCCTTGCTGCCTGCCAAGTCTAGGAGGGATCTCTCCAGTGAGCTTGTTGCTGTTCAAGTCCAACCACACCAAACTGCTGCAATGTGCTAGCTCTTCTGGTATCTCTCCTGTGAAGCTGTTATTTCCAAGCTGCAGAACTGCTAACCTTGTCAAGAGGCCAAACTCACGTGGTATTTCACCACTGAGTCCATTGCTTGTCAGTGATATCCATTCAAGATTGCTGCAATTGAACAACTCAATGGGAATTCCACCAGTGAGGCGATTGTTATTCAGTATGAGATCCTTAAGATTCCTGCACTGGCCCAACTTTGGTGGAATCTTTCCTTCCAAGTCATTGAACCATGCTATTAGCTGCTCAAGGTTTTCAAGTTGTCCAAGCTCATCAGGGATTGAACCATTGAGATAGTTCAGACTAAAATCAAGTGTCTTCAGTTGTGAGCACTTTGACAGTTCAGCTGGGATTTCTCCTGTGATGAGATTATCTGGCATTCTCAGTTCCTCAAGTGAGGCTGCACCTGGACATATATCTCTGGGGATAGATCCACAAACTTTATTTGAGCTGAAATCCACAATCCTCAATTTCTTGCAGGAAGATATTGAAGATGGAAATTGCCCTGAGATAGCATTATTTCCCAGCCGCAGTTCCTGCAATGATCCAAAGTTCTGAAAGATTGAATCTGGTAATTGACCTGACATATTGTTGTTTGATATGTCAAGAAGTTGAAGCCAAGTGCAAGAAGAGAAACTAGTGGGGATTGAGCCTGAGATGTTGTTGAAAGAAAGTTTAAGTTCTAAAAGAGATGCACAAGCATTTCCAAATTCAGAAGGGATCCAGCCAGTAAGTTGATTGTGGGAAAGATCCAAAGTCTGTAGTTTGTTCAGCTGACCTAAAGCTTTTGGGATTTCACCAGAAATGAAATTGTTGGCTAAATCCAAATTTTGAAGGCTGGTGCAGTTTGACAAAGAGATTGGAAATGAGTCTGATAAATGGTTTCCAGATAGATCAAGTTGCAACAAGGACTTGCACTCAATTTTCAGACCAGAGATTGACCCTGTCAAATTGTTGGAAGAGAGGTCAAGGACCTGCAGTTTATCAGAATTTTGCAGGAAATATTCAGGAATAGGGCCTGTCAAGTTGTTGTAAGAAAGATTCACAACAACAAGATTTGGACACTTGGAGAAAAGTTTTTCAGGGACAGGACCTGTAACTCCACCAAAGGATAGATCAAGCTGTGTCAAACTATATGGTAGCTGAAGCAAAGAAGTAGAATTCACAGAAAATACATTCAAAGACAATTTCAGAATGGATAACATATCTAAAGAAGACAGAGGATCAAAAGAAATAGTCCCAGCAAGGTTACTATTCCCACTAAGATCAAGCTGAGTAACTCTTCCTAGGGTGCAAGTCACTCCATGCCAACTGCATGGGTTTCTATTTATCTGCCACCCTGACAAAACTCTATCTGGATCCTTCTGAATCATCTTTTTGAACATTAGAAGACCCTCTGCATCAGTCTTGATGGAAGAAACTGCAGCAGCTTCCTTAGTCAAAGGAAACAAAACAGTCATAGTAAGGAGGAGTGTTACAGTGAGATGAGGAAAAAGCTGAACTGGGTTGTTCTCCATTGAGAAAAACAAGATAGTACAAAGCCAGAACACAGGTCTGGGTAGAGAGAGATCAGCAGAGAGAAAGAGAGATATAGAGTGATGATGATGTGTGTGTGTGTGTGTGTGCAGAGAGAGAGAGAGGAAAGACACAGTGAGTGTGGTGAGTATGATGGGAATTTCTTGTGGCAAAACCTTTGTGAAAAGGAGTTGCTTTATGTGTTTTATAAAAAATTGAAAGGAGGGAACGTGAGAAGGAATAAGGTGGTGTGTGGTGGAGGGTATGTACTTGCAAGTTTGTTGGTATAATAAACAGTGTAGAGTAGAGATAGAGACACAGAGAGAACAGTGAGAAATGAGAATTTAGTGAATGGATTGATTTGGCTTTTGGTCAAGGGTTTTGGGACCCACAGACAAAGGTCTATATCTAAAGAACGGCGCTAATAGTGTAAAGAAAATAATAAACCTGTGACCTTGGCCTGTGCTTGATCCAATAGTCACTGTCTGTCAGAGAGCGTGAGAATGTTTCCCTTATATATATGTATATATCTGTGTGTGATATATAAATATATGTGTGGCAGCACACATGGTACTAGGGGACATCATATTGGCACTATATCTGGTTGTTTTCTGATTTGAAGCACTGTTTCTCCCTAGTATTTGCACAAATGTCTTCAAGACAAATCATGCATAGCTGCTTACTGCTTTGGGCCTTTGGCATATAACATGATGCTATATGTAAAGTACATCCACTTGCAATCAATCACTGTCCCCACACACTAACACGAGATTTTCAGTGTGCTTTGTCCTCACTAGCATATTTTCCGGGAAAACTTCCCAGGAGGTCACCCATCCCAGAATTGCTCCAAGTCAAGCATGTTTAACTGTAGAGTTCTTCCGATCCGGCTACTGAAAAGTAGATGCATCTTGTTAGTATAGGTAGTACCAATTAATTCTTATAAATCATTCCTAACTGTACCGTCCCATACCAGCACAGTCTCTGGAATTCCTCTCTTTCGGGTGTTGATTCGATTCATTCATGAACCCCCAAGCTACAAGATTTGGCATGAGCCGCTCATTGTCCGTGCCCTTTCGCACCGGCGATCACTCCCTGCCCTTGCCAGCTCTTGGGATGTTACATGCCCACCAGCTTCTGCCTGGTCGAACCACACCGTACTAGAAGAGAGGCTCTGCTCTGATACCACTTGTAACGCCCGACCACTTGCAAGAATTAATAACTGTCTCCACTCACTAACACGAGACTTTTCAGTGTACTTTGTTCTCACTCGCACACTTCCCGGGAAAACTTCCCAGGAAGTCACCTCTTGACAGCTCTTGGGATGTTACACTATACATGGTCAGCTAGATTGATAAATAGGCAAGCAAAAATTAACATGAACTGTTATTATTATTTTTATTGTTTCTGTTGTTACATCTACACCACTTTGATAATCTTTACCAGTTGCACTTGAACTATATATGGACTGTATTTGTATAGCCTTTAAAAGAATTGAAAATGTTTTAGTGAGGGGTCCCACGTGTTGAAATCTGAAGGGAAATTCATGATAGTGTGTTATGGTTGAATGTTTCATGGGAAAAAAAATATATAGGTGGAGAGTAAAGAAATGTAGGCCCACCATGAAGCAACATCAATGAGGTCAGTGTTAATGGCATGGGAGGTGATGATGCCCCCTTTTGCGCCTTTGTCATTCTTCCTTTGCAAGCAGAGGCAGAGGCCCTTACATATATTAACTGTTCACTATTGAAATAGTGACTGGGTTCAATCCACCTTAATAAATCTTTAAAGTTTTTGACTTTTTAGCTGGGTTTGGGACCATGTCTTAACTTTGTTACATACTCTAATTAGCAGATTCTGCTTAATGAATCCCTGTTGAGTTGTTATGAATCAGCAAATCAAGATTTTGTGTCTGCAAGTGGTGAATTTCTTTATTGGAGAGAATTAAATCTCCCATGTTATTTAATATCTTATTTATGTGTCACATTAATTTAGAGAGAGGCGCAAACTAAATGTGTGTGAGAAAGAAAAAGAGATTTAATTATGAAGTACTTTTACAACAGCTTTTAAAAGATTAGACCAATTCGATTGTTACTGCCCAAATAAATTGGAATCCCCAAAATACATTTGCAATTCACAAGAAGGATTTTCCAAATGTTCTTCAATTTGTGGCAGAAAAACGGTTAATTAAGAGTCCTAAATTTTATGGAAAGTGATTTTATTTATGAGAAAAGTGTTTCTGCTATCGAAAATAAAATTATCTTATACTGTAAAGAACCTTGAGGTCACCACCCAAAAGCTAACTCAAAGGGTGGGAGTGTCAAAGGCCTTATAAACTCTACATTAGTTGCACATACAACCAATGTGATACTATATATCTCAACACGCCCCCTCACACAAGAGCCCATTGGGCTTGAAAAGTGGACAATGCAACAGGCCCAGCCTACCTGTGCTAAGAAACGCCACAAGAGAAAGTGGGGGGCGGCGAGACTCTGATACCATGTAAAGAACCTTGGGATACACCACCCCAAAAGTTAGCTCAAGGAGTGGGAGTGCCCAAGGATAAACTCCACATTAGTTGCTTATACACGAGAGCCCATTGGGCTTGAAGAGTAGACAATGCAACAGGCTCAGCCTACCTGTGCTAAGAAACGCCACAAGACAAAATGGGGGACGGCGAGACTCTGATACCATGTAAAGAACTTTGGGATAAGCACCCCAAAAGCTAGCTCAAAGGGTGGGAGTGCCCAAGGCCTTATAAACTCTACATTAGTTGCACATACAACCAATGTGGGACTATATATCTCAACACAATTTCGAAACGATATTAATCCCTTATATCGTGAATTTTATTAAAATTGTAAAGAATTAATTCAACCCAAAAGCTTAAGCTGTTGGATGAGGTTGAGGTTACATTAATGATTTTATATATCTCAACACGTTCTCTCACATGAGAGCCCACTCAAGAGAAAGTGGAGGGCGACGAGATTTTGAACCCGGGACACGAGGCTCTGATACCATGTAAAGAACCAATTCAACCCAAAAGCTTAAGCTGTTGGGTGAGGTTACATTAATGATTTTATATATCTCAACAAAAATATCCTTTATTTTTAAACTTAAATCTCAAAACGAAATCGGAGATAATTTGATATGATAGAAAAATATTAATCCCTTTTATTTTTTAGGTTTAATTTTCTCATGTTGCATAAAAATTCAATTTTCATGTTATGACTTAACTAATAGTGGACCCCACAATTATTAAAAAGAAAAAAAGAAAAAAAAATTGCACGCAAATCGAATAGTCACAACATAATAATTAACTTCTTATGCAATGTAAGAAAATATTTTTCCTTTATTTTTATATAATTTTTATTTATTTTTTAAATATTAATATGATTCTTTAGCCAAGCGAGTGTATACGGTGGGGAAAGTGTACCTTGTTTTGTTGAGGCTTCTTTTACATATAGACGGACCCAAGAAACATGTTGACTTCGCTACATATGGTGGTGTGAATTACGCACAACTTCATCATTGCCACTATGTTTGTGGGAATTCCGTTAAGCACTCAGCAACTACGTAGTGACAAGTGTCCAAGATAGGATCAGGGGTGTCAGATACAACATCATTTATACGGAAATTTCTTTAATGAACCAACTCGTACTCCCTTTTATTAAAATATGATTTTTTTTAACTCATATTCTTCTTTCTAATTCCTTTTAAATTCCAAAAATTTCCCATTTTAGCATGAATATACCTCTGAACTTTGGCCAAAATGATAATTGTTATAGTTTAGCTTCTAGTCATTTAGTAAAATAAATAACAATTAAGATTAACCATCATAACTGTCCTTCAACTTTGGAGGATCAGCAACATGGATTGTCTTCGGATTCTCATCATCTTGATTTGTGAATTGTGAATTGTGAATTTAGAGCATATTTTAAGTAATTTACTAAAATAAAATAGATTCATGCGGCAGAAGTAATTAAAATAAGGGGTTTAATTTTCTTATGTAAAAGTTGATAAGTGAATTTTTCTATACAGACAAACATCAGTGAGTCCCATTACTTTATAAAATAAAAAAAGAAAAGAAAAGAAAAACTCAATTTTTAATGTTTGAGCAGAAAATACTATTTATTCTTTCTGTGGCAGAAAAATAATATTTACGTTAAAATAAACACAATTAAATGAATATAACTTTTTAACTTGAATAAACGATAAACCGAGTCTTTAATATTATGGAAGTATTAAAAATATTCTCATAAATTTAACCTCTTGATACTATATTCGAGAAGTTCAAAGTTACAAATCAATAGACGATATTCATGTTAGGTTTTTGGTTAGTCTTTGAGTAATTTATTGAAGTCTTGTAAGAAAAAGACTAATTAACGGGTTACTTACATCTTAAATACAAGTCCTAAGATTGTTTACTGTGTATATAACTAAGATTTAAGTTACTTATTAGAATTTCAATAATCTTGACTTTCCAAAAAAAAAAATTCAATAATCTTCAGCATCTAATAGGAGTATTGTTTTAGGTTTGGATTTTGGAATATCGGATCTTGCTCAATTACTTAGCCATAGTCGTCGCAGTGGCACTAATTACTTAAGAGATCTGGCTAGATCTCACTGAAATGGAGGCATAATCCCCCCAAAGCAGCAAATTCTAACATCTCTGCATTAATAGAATAAAGGAATAAAATTTCTTAATCGAAATAGAATTTTATGTAAATTGCTGTCCAAACAACTAACCTCACAATATAAATATAATTTAATGTCCAGGTTCAGCTTATGATATATGAGGGTTTTTTTTAATAGATTTATTTATCAATTACTTAATTCAGTCAACTTGAGCATCACCATAAAGAGAGAAATATTTTCTCTACCAAAATTTTAACAGCATATTTAGAATTCGAACTTAAAAGTTTTAGATGTGGATTTTTATCCACAATCTTTTTTTTTTCTATACTATTATAAGAATTGAACATATAAACTATCTAAATCCCTCCTTATTAGACCAAACCTAGTAACTTTA